CAGGATCTCACTGTCAGAATAAATGGTTTAGCACGACAGTTCACTCACAAAAACAGCTCAGCTGGCTTGAGATTTTGGATCATATATGCGCTGAGATGAGCCTGACTCATGAAATGAATAGCAAGGACTAATTAAGAAAGTTTTGAGCCAGTACAGTAAGCATACAGTAGTGTGCAAAAGTTTGAGCGCCTCTGTCAAATTCATTTAGTTGATTTTTTAAGTGAAAATAAGTTAACACTGTACAGGGAACACACTTCTGCGTAGTACCTTTTAATAGACGAATAAATAAAAATAAATAAATACATCAAACAAACGTGTGAAAAAATGTTTATAATGTTTACATTATTATAAATGTTTATAAATAAGTTATGGCATATTTTATGTTATATGTTTATGTATGTATTTTCCCCAAAATGTTGAATGTTAGATTTAGAATTTGTACACTAAAATTTACAGAAAAATGCCATATTTCAGTGCGTTCTCTGTAGATTAATTTGTAACTTGACAAAAGTTATTATACAACTGTACATGCCAACATGGCTGCACTTACCTGTGAGTGAACTGGCACGCTAATTAGAGCGGTCATTTATTCTGTTTATTTATAAACCATCAGTTTTAAGAGGAAGTTGGATGATGTTTTTAAACATTTTAAGCCTGCAGATTAGCTGTAACTACAAACAGGTGCCCAGATTCAGCCTCCACACTGACACAGCTTCTACACAGGTTATGGGCTTGACATGAAATCTGGAATCTGGACCAGTACGGGAATACAAGAACTAAATTTGTGAAAATAGATGCATAAAACATGAATTTAATTAATAGTCAATTCAATTATTATTAAAAATAATATTAAAAATGAATTAACACATTAATTACAAGTTTATAAGTTACATGCTTATAAGTTGGTAATAAACACGTAGTACATTATATAGTATATACTAAACACCCTTTTATAAACCTATCACATAACTTGTGATTAATATGTCAAATATATAGTATAGTTTATTATTATATACTACATTTTATACAACAAATGTATATATTCGTTCAAATTCACCTACCTTGATGCTTGTACAGTAGTGAAATTTGTACGCTGTAAAAAAAATTCCATAACATTTAAAGTATTTATTTTGTCTTATTTTTTAAAATACTGGTTTGTTATGTTACAGAATCATGCTGTAAAAGACTGGGCATTTAAAGCGGAGCATTGGTTTACAGTAACATGCCAGACAATGCAATGCATGGTGAAAAGTTTACACTGTAAATAATTTACAACAAAATTTACAGTATTTATTTTACCTTATTTTTTAAAATACTGGTTTGTTATTTTACAGGATCATGCTGTAAAAGACTAGGCATTTAGAGTGGAGCATTGGTTTACAGTAACATGCCAGACAACACAATGCATGGTGAAAAGTTTACACTGTAAAAAATACACCACGAAATTTACAGTATTTATTTTACCTTATTTTTTAAAATACTGGTTTGTTATTTTACAGGTTCATACTGTAAAATTCTGGGCATTTAGAGTGGAGCATTGGTTTACAGTAACATACCAGACAATGCAATGCATGGTGAGAAGTCTATTTACCATAAAATTTAGAACAATTTACTGGCAACTACTACAAGTGAATTAGGGTTAATTTTACAACAGAAGAGTGACTGTTCCTCAGGTGACTGAGAACCTCAGTACAGTATGTGATCAGACTGTCAGCAAGAACGGTCCACATAAAGAGGGTTATTATAGTAGGACTGCAGTGCATTGACCCCTTATTACAAAGACAAGAACTCATCCTGAACCTCAGTAGTGTGAAACCATCTGCACTGTTCTACAGAGATGTGGGGAAAAGTGATCTGGTCAGATGAGTCATTGTTCACCACATTCTCCACAAGTGGGAGAGTCCATGTGCAGCATAGACCTAGAGAACAGTACAAAATGTTCAGACGTACTTATGTTTGGTTCCACTTAGAGTAGGGGTGTCAAACTGGGCCACTAAAAAGGCCATATTAAAAATCTCAACAAATCTGTGGGCCGGAGAACTTCTGTGTTTTTATTAACATATAAGCTAAACTGGCCATTGCTTATTCAAAATAGACCAAAATGTCGATAGCAACATAAGCACTTTTAGTAGACTTGAAATATTACATGAATACTTGACGTGAGCACATAGCATGACACATAACACATTACGTTGCAGTGCATGCTGGACATTGTAGTACAGTGCATTGTGAAATGGGCTAATTTTAAAGAAGCAATTTATAAGACTTTTAGTTTAACACATTCAATTTGACATTTGTCAAAGACATCTATGTACCGTGTTGCAGAGATATCTACTGAAGTTAGCATGCTTACCAGCTAGCCTCGGCTCGTCCTGTCTCGTAATACCACTTTGTACCTCAAGAGGCGACAGTGAGTCAGCGCAGCATCGAGTCTGCTATCAGTCCAGCATGGAAAGATGGAGAACTAGCATTGCCAACTCCTGGCAATAAACCACACAGGAAAGAACTGATATAAATAGAAGCAAAACAGGAGTTAACATTTCTTTTAACATTTCTTTCCACTCTTCAGCTCTTGGTGAGTAAAGGGATGAAGCTTGATGTTGAACTTGAAACATTTCTTCTAGACTGGTAAGTAATGAATTTGACAGGTGGCTCCTCTTACATATTGCTCCTTTAATACACAATTAAAATAATTTTGCAGGCCAGATATGTAAACAGAAGGGACTTAGAAGGAAAGGTCACTGCAAATTGATACTGACTGATCACCTTCATCGTACGAAGAAACATTTCCATTGTGATGGGAGTGGCCTCTTCTACGATAACAATGACCTCATGTACCGGCCAGCAAATGGTTTGAAAAAGTATGAAAATTGTTTGATATAAACACTTATATTTGTGTGCACAAGGTTGGGATTTGTTGATTTTCTAAGTGAAAATAAGTAACATATCCTCTACAGAGACACACTTCTGCACATTTAATAGACGATTACAGTTTATTAGCTGAATTTAGCATATCAGGAAAAAAAGGTGGCCTGTGCTGAAGTTATGGCACATTTTATTTATTTATTTATTTGTTTTGTTTTTTTTCCAGTATGTTACAGTGAGCAAATAAACAACACGTGGGCATTAAAATGTGCAGAAGTGTGTTCTCTGTAGAGGATGTGTTAACGCTTTAGCTTTGTGGGCACAAAGCTTTTATTACATTTCTATTAACTAAGAATAGCTAAACTAGTTTCCTTGTAGTTACTGAATAATAAGCCTTTGTATGTAATTAGCCTGAGATTTTAAGGGGTTAACATAACTTAAAACACATCAGACGGGGGGTCTTTAAACTTTTGCATGTGTATATTGCGGACTGATGTTACACTTCGCTCTCCACCATCATCATCAAACTAATTTGTGGGAATATCCTTTAGAAGAATGCTGTTCCATTCCTCCAGTACAGACTTGTAGAATCTATGCCAGCTTTTCTGGAGGCCCAACTCTGCTCTAGGACACTTTCTGATGTTTTTCCTGTTAATTTGTCGCCTGTCATCTACAGACTCTGCACTGAAAACTGACTGTAAAAGGGTGTAGTTATGAAAGTTACATTTGAAAGGGATATGCATAAAAAAAGGGTGCCCGGAAAAAGAGGCGTGACTGAATATCGGAGTAGACGTTATTTTTGGAATGCCATGGGCGAACGAGAGGAGCACCGCCCAGGCCTGCCTTCTGTCACCATGGCGATGGCTGTTTTAGAATGCAGCTGGATGGAAAAAGTCTGCAGGACAGACAGGTGGTACACAGGAGAGTCCCGTGGCGCAGCGCCGGTGGTTTTTCCCATGATCACCCCTTCACTCCCTGCCGGCATTTCAAATGCACATGAACACCCCCTTTTCAAAAAAACCCTCTCACCTTACACAGAGGGTACAGGAATCCACAGTTAGTGCCATAGCAAATTCGGCTTTGTCTGTCTACCATTTGAGTTTGAGTGCAATGAAAAGAAAGTTCGTCTGAAGTGGAAAGTCTGAAACAAAGCCTAAGGCGAAGTGACAGACGTCAAAAGGGACGGAGGAGAATTATTCAACAATTAACACTTATATCTCTACAGAATCACTGCAGCTCCTTTAAGAATGGAAAGTGGTCTTGTGTTTTGAGTCAGATGGGTTCTAAAATCTAGGTCATCAAAGCTGAGTTGGATGGCTCTCGATTGGCACATCCGCCACTGAATCATATCAGGGGAAAGAAAGTCTTTCATGAATGTTGACTGAGGATGTCACATAGTGAAGATGGTACTGTAAAACTGTAAAGCCAGCTCACATACAGACCAGCGGTGGGCAATACGATGATATTTATCCCTAACTAGAGCATAATGAGTCTTGTTCAACTGCATTTGATGTAGTTCTCTATGCAAAATGTTGAATAAAAGCTATTGTACTCAAACCATTGTTTAAACTTATCAAACATCTGAAAAACAAAATGTGATGTGTATCGCTGCTGTCAAAAAAAACAAACGAACAAACAAAAAAACAAATACAAACATAAAACAAAACAATATTAAACCTATATATATATATAACATTTTGGAGATTTTGGACCATTTTGTCCCAAGAGCAGTGATTAATATATACATATATATATATATATATATATATATATATATATATGTGAAACATTCAGTCAAGTGTAGTAGTTTCTCTTGAATTGTTGTCCCAAGAGCAGTGATTAATATATATATATTTCTCTTTCGGTCCATTCAGCATGAAATTTTCACACAACATGAACAGCTTGTGTGATAAAATGATATAGAAATCAGAATCTCTCTCTCTCTTGGTATATATATATATATATGTATTCTTCTGACAGTGATTTTCTTGTATCACAAGTTTGAGTGCAATAAAAAAAAATCTTTTCAAGTATCATGATGGTATATTTTTGCCATATCGCCCACCTCTAACACAAAAGAACGTCAGCCCTCATCAGGATTCAGCCTAAATGGAAAAAAATGAGTCACAAATATCTTTTAAATAATCATTTTTTTATTCGTTTCGTTAGCAGAAAGCATACTGTATACATAAAATACCCTTGAGATTTCTATAAATATTTCATATTAGAGAAGATACAAGATTGAATTCACCGTGTGCCTTGACTGGGGAAAAAGAGAATACAATCAGCCTGTTTAGCAGAGCCAATGCAAAATAAGGCACAGGGACAAGGTCTCTTACACACGATCATGCATTCATATACAAGGAGAAGAAAGTATCCCAAGGTATCCATGTCACAATAAAGAACAAAACATTGGATATCGATATTAAGTGCATGCGTTAGAAAGACAATTTTTCATTCAACAGAAGAGAAGTGAGCCTTCGACAACAAGAGACCTCTCAGTTTTGGTCTTATACAGAATGTTTTTTTACATTTTGCCTCGTAGACAAATGGTTCCTAATCGCAGTCCTGCTTGTTTTTAATGTTTATTTATACTCCTTGTTTAACACATTAGGCAGTTATTAGGTCCGTCAGGTGTTTTGGAATAGCGAGAGTTTTGGACTGGGATTAAGAAGCACTTCCCTAGACGACTGGCCTACACAGGTTAGTGCACTCCTCTATTACTGACAGACTCTACACTATAGAAAACCTATCGATTACACGGTAAAATCCTTTGGTGTCGTGTCATTTATTGCTGGTCTTTGTCTCCGTAAACTGTACATCATCCCCCTTTATGACTACACACATTGTTGTATGCTTAATAAGCTTTGTTGTTTTCTTCATAGACGTTGTTAGATTTGTGTGCCATCACTGGAAAAAGAAGCCAACAGCAGATTCAGTTTCCCAAAGCTGGAATAGTTCAAAGCAGAAATGCTTTAACTGAAATAAAAAATTTTCATGTACCTAAAGCAATCTAGTCATATCTAGCCTCAGCCCTGCAGACCGATCTTGTGAATCCCCAGGCTGGGTGGAGAAAACCCCTGCTTCAACGGATGCTCCTTCATATATATCGCTGTTATCGGAAGAAAACCTTGTATCTTCATTTTTGACGTTTTTTTAGTTTTTGACATAATTTGAAATGACCTGTTACCCTCCACATTGTATGTAAACTTCATGATGAATGGATTAAAAGAAATGACCCAAAATGACCTGGAAAAAAGTCTGGTTCCATTGACTTACATTAAAAGTAACGTAGGTTTTTTCCTTCTTTTGCAAAGTTTCCATTTTGGAGATACAAGGTTTTCTTATATATATATATATATAGTCATTTAAAACTTTGTATACTAATAATCAGACTTATATACTAAGTATTTAGAAGCTAGTAAGCGACATATCCTCACAATTTCCCCAGTGCTTTATAAAAATAGTTCAATGCTTAAACTTAAAAAGTAACCTGGTTGCCCTAGTTTTGAGTTCATTGAACTTCAAATAAGTTAACAGAATTTAAAACAGATTAATGTTCTGTTCATTTGCTTTTAGAAGTTCAATGAATTTAAAATCTTACTTGCTTGACCTTAAAAAATTGTTAAAACATCAAAAAAAAATTATCGCTCCATTTTGAACCTCGTCTATCCCTAAAAGTCACACAAAAACAATAGTCTGTGGTCATTATTCATGTTAGCCAAACGGCCCCTTCCTGTCAAAGTAGGTGGTTCTTGGTCATGCGCTGATATGATTAGCTTCTCCAACCATGTTAGCTAGTGTAAACTGCTTCCTTATAATTAAAAAGATTAAGGTTAAGGTTAGCGTTAGCTTATATCCCTAACCATGTTGTCTAGTGCTTTAGCTAACATGCCAAACGTGATTTGAACTTTATTTTTAAAACGTATGTAACTACAGAACATACTTACCTTAAAACAGTATATTTTTCACTTTTATATAGCATTAACTGGGTAGCTTGGTTAGCTAACTTAGTCGGCTAACCTCTGGGGTTAGGTCTGCGGGCTGCAGCTAGATGTCACTTAAGCTATTGGCCAATTACATGACTGCTTTTCCCAAACTTTAGAGCTAAGTGCCATTTCAAATATACTGTGAGTAATGAGCAAAGCTCTCTAACCACTGGGCTCTCATCAGTGGTGCTGGGGTGTGAGGGTGGGGAGGTAGAGGTGGTCCAATTTCACTGAGAGACTACACACTATACAAGGGACAACAACAGAAAATTAAGGCATATTTACAGCATATTAAACATACATATTTAAACAAAAAGCGCTACAGACGTCTTTGTATGTATATGCCATGGTATAAAAATGAAAAAAAAAAAAACATGGTCTAAACACTAGTCTACTTTATTCACACACATATTCCTACACGTTTCCAGCCTTTCATATTTACTGTAAACAAACAAGTGACTGAATCAAAAAAGGTATAAAAAAGAAGTGAATAAGAAGAAAGGGATTGCATCCTGGTTTGTGCTTGCAGCAAGGCACTGCAGTATCTGTCCCGCGTGATGAACAGGTGGGGACGTTTCAGCTACTCTATTATTCTGACCCTGTCTAACAGCCTTGGTCCTGAACGATGGTACATACCACATAAGAGAGACTAAAGGAAAGTCTCTGCGAAATCTTGGTCCACAAAAGAGCAAAAGTTCTATTTAAGGCAAGAGCAAAAACAAATAAAAAAGGAGAACAGTCACTGACGGTGCTTTCATGCACCTCGTTGAATTTAAGGCTTTTCATGTGAAACATTCAGTCAAGTGTAGTTGTTTCTCTTGAATTGTCGACTTTAAATGCCGGGACTCAGTGTCCAGGAGTGGACGGGTTCAGAGGGAAGACGTCTTGGTCCCTTCTTTCGTCAGGCGTCTCGATGGCCATCTACGAGTGACCGTGAGCGGAAGTGCTTGACAAGTCGTTCCTGATGATTTCATTGACTGTGGACACAAAACAAAACAGAATATTAACATGTGTACAACGTATAACATACATAAGCATATATACGACTTAATCCACATGTGTCAGGCTCCAGTCCTCGTGGGCCAAAACCCTGCAGACTTCAGCATGTTACCTCATTAAACACACCTGATTCAGCTCATCAGCTAATTAGCAAGGCCTTTATGAACTGAATTCAGAGCGTTAGATGAGGGTAAACGCCAATATCTGCAGCACTTTGGCCTGGAAGCTCTCCAGTTTGACATGCCTGACTTAATCTATAAGTGTAACAAAATGACAAATACATTTTTTTTTTTAGTATTGAAATTTTTCTACAGTAATTTTTGTATAGTATAATACTAAACCCGTGCTTTTCACAGCATTTAAAGCATGTAATTATTGCCAGCAACAATAAAAACATCCTGTCATTCAATATTAATTATTTCTCATGCGTAGCTCTTTCAAACAAGTGGAGAGATTCTGTTAAAAGTGCTCTATAAACTTTCAGCTCATACTATATTTGTGTTTGTGAGTAGGAGTTTGTAGATGCTGCAGTTTTTTTTATATTTTTATTTTATATATATATATTTATTTTTGCTGTGTTTTTGTCCGAAAGCCAGAACTGCAGACTTCAACTTGTGTATATATTAGTCTAAATATAAATCCTTATTAGTAATTATGTAATTAACTCTTTATTTTGTGTAATTACAAGGGCTGGCCCAAATAACAAATCTGAATACTAGTGTATGTTACGTCAGTATCTGTTTTCTCTAATAAGAAGAATTCAGAAGCTTTGACTTTCCTTAAGCCCTAAATATTGTAGCCTAAAATAAATTTCATCAGAAAAACATTTAGACAGAACAGATATTGTTAATTTACAGAAACTGCATTAAAAAATTACTGATTCATAAACACTCACAAGTTCATGCAGGTTGGGCCAGCCCTAGATATTACATTTGAACTGTACAGTAAAATGACAGTAATCTTTAGACCAAGGAGTTAAAACCTGACTTAATAAGCATCAGCTGTGAATAATGATGAAGGAAACATTGAGCCTTTTTTGGATATTCTTTTACTTTCGTTTGAACTCCATGTGAGTGAACATCACGGAGGGGCAGGTTGGTCCTGGCGTGTGTTGTGCGCCCGCGCGTTTCCCACACTATTTTAGCCAGACTTCAGAGTGTTTTTATCAGCTGTGTTCTTTGGCTGGGTTTAGGGAAGTGACTACAAAGAATCTCTGTAGTCATAGGTCGGATGACCCCGAGAGTGCGGCTGCTCCTAAAAGCCCTGAACTGATAACCATCAGCAACTGCAGCAGAAGCCGAAGCACTTGCCAGTAGCGATGCTAACTGTCCACATCAAAGACCCAGGCCAGGGCTCTGTATTAATTAATATGTACATTTATAACATGCAAGTCTGTACAAAAGCCAAAGACCACCATTTATTTCATTTCCAGTCATAATGGCTATAAAATACAAAATACATATAATCAGCACTTATAGCTTTTATCTTTGAGAGAGAGGAGAAAATCAAGCTGCTTCAGGACTGAAAACATCCACAGGTGTTTCTGTCCATCCTTCCACTGTGAGAAGACGACTCAGCGCTATGGGTCTGAAAGGATGTGTAGCTTTCAAGAAGCCTCACTGAGAAAAGGAGACGGACAAAAAAAGAGGAAAATTTGGAAAAAAAACAAAGAAGCTGCTGGTGCTCTGAGAACAGTGACCTGACCAGTCCAGACCTTAATAACATTGAATGTATTTAGGATTACTTGGATCACGAGAAGTAGAGAATGCAACCGACTTCTAAGACTGAACTTTGGAGGTGTAAAAAAATATTCCTGCACATGTTTTTTTCCTGACATTGAAAAATGTATAATTTATACTCAATGGCTGTTTTCACTGGGAATTAAAGTAAGTGTGGTCTCATTAAGGTGGGTCTTTATGTTAACAGACCACCAACAACAATGCCTTATCAGCTCCTCCAGACAGGGCATGCACACACATATACACACACTCTCTTGCATGTATGCACAGAGCTCAGAATCCGTTTTCCTACATTAGGGGTAGTCCCAGTGGAAAAGTGCAGGCTGAGCCAACACTGCTGGCTGTTTGTACCTGCTGCTCGGAGCAAAACAGGCATTTACATGCCGAGCTCATTTTGCTCACCCCCCTTTGCATCACACAAAACAAACCACAAAACCAGGATCATAATTACATGATCAAACTTTAATGTGCCTCTAGAAAGACTAGGATATATAAAGAACTGTAAACAGCCTCAGGTAACACAGAGCACACTGCACGCTGAGAGAAAAAAATCACCACCTCAGCAGTACGAAATGCAAAAAAAAAAAAGGGTTTTGTTTCAGAGGAAAAGCGGTCGCTTCCTTTTCACTCTTGTCAGTCGTGGCAACGGTCGGGCCTTCTCCGAAATTTTCACACCTACACTGCAACCACAACACTGTGCTGTTTTGCTTTATCAACTAATAGTTTCCATTTCCAAGCCCTCAGCTTTTCCACTGATACAAAAAGCATGAGAGCTGGAAAATAAAATGAGAAAAAAAAAAAGAAAAAAGTATGAGAGATTTACGCCAGAAAGGTGTCCAGAGGTCTCTAATCACACTGTGTTGACATTCAGAAAAGCCGCTGAAACAGGATGTTGTAAACTGTTAAACCTCAAAGCTACAAGCGTGCCTAATTATAGCCCCCTATTAATAATATCTATGTGGTCGCCAGCTTGTTTATCAAGACAATCGTGCAGAGCACAAAGGAAAAATATGTACAGACAGGATTGTTATGACAAAATAAGATGAAATTGTCAGATGTTGAGGTGTTACAGAAGCCAAATGCAGTCACTTGGGGTCAAATCCAGTCGTGCCCTGCTAAGCTCACCTGATGCAATCCATTGTAACAATCTTCCGCATTAATAAATAATAAGAAACAGGTTCATTCTTATAGGCCTGAACAATAGGTCTTAAACGTAAAGATAAAGCACTGCTCTCAGCTGTGTAGCGTAAAAAATCATTTATTCTCAATTGGAAGTCTATCAGTTTAAGCGTTATCTTGCTGTACACTATTGATGATGTAACATTTGCTGAAATTCACTGTTTAATGACCCGACTGATTAATCGTTTAACTGGCCTACAGTTGATTACAGTGTGAATATCAAGAAAAGTCAGAGAAGGGCTGCAGTTATAAATAAGCAGCAAAGAAAACAAATTGGATGGAAACATTAAAAAATGGTCTGACAAATAATTCAAATGCTTAAATATGATTAATTGCATTATTTTGTGTAGTTAATTGTGATTAATTGCAACTGTCTTATCTGCTCCACTTTGACTCTAAAGAAATGTTTCCAGTTAACAAGCAGTGCATTTTATTATAGCTATAAATGGACAAAATAAGCATCATCACAAGTTATTACTTTCAATAATATTTCAATAGCGTTATTTTATCATTATCATTTCAAAAGCATTATTATCTTACATATTATATATATTATATAATTATACAGTTAATGGTTCAACTAGTCCGCTCACGCTTGTGTTCATGGACTCTTGTCTCAGTGGAGACTCTTGAGCGGAACTGGAGCTTTCCACTGTGCTAATGCTTTTGTTAGCTTGCTGCTTGTTGATTTATCCATAGTTCTCCTGCAAGTGTCTCTGCTGAATAACTGACTGGTTCATCAGTGATCGCCACATCACTGCTGTGATTTGCTTGTAAATGACACTTCAGGCTTGATGAACTTTGATGATAAACAAATTCACCGCAGTAGCTGGAGGCAACTGTTATCAAAAGAGCCATCATTGGAACTTGCCATTTGAGAGCTGTATTAAAATGAGAGGGCTATAATCACTCTGTTGAAGCAACATACATACATACAGCTCTGCCGCTGGGCTTCAGCTTGTACTACTGTGGGCAGCCCGAGGGGTAAAACTAAGAAAATTTGTTAAGGGTGTTAAAAAAATTAGGGCCGTATACCATTAAACAAATTAACTTTGACAGCATAAAAACTGTATATATAAAGAAAAATGAATAAAAATAGAAAAAGAAAAAAGAAATCTAATAGATCTGTATGTTATTATTTTTTGGGCTTTCTTGCTGTCAGACAACGAGGCAAATTCACACTTCCACCCACACCAACACCCACACATACACACCTATACGCAAGCTTGGCTTCAGACTGAGCATCTCTGAGTGTGACAGAACACAGAAGGTTTGCTTTATTAAAACATGCTTCATTCCTGCAGCGTGCCAGTCTGTGATACTGTCATTGCCAACACACACACACACACACACACACACACACACACACACACACACACACACGTGAGTACAGGGAGTACAGCCAACCCCTCCCTGCCAGTTTTCCCTTTGGGTGTGGTCCATCAAACCCAAGCCTGTCCAAGGCATCTTTTAATCTCCTCCTCCACGCAGGGAACAGTGACCGGCCACTGACGTTCGCTCCTCTAAAAATACACCGCGCGGGAATTCCGGTTCTGCCCTATTTGACCAAAGCAACAACTTACTTTACTGCTATGACTCTGGTGCACTGTCAGCATTGATGTCACTTCGCTTAGTTTCCATCACCTGTGTACATGCAGTGCAAGCTTTCACAGCACTGGAAAAAGTCTGAACACAGATAACAGTACCACAGATAATTAGAGTACAGGAATCATTTCGCTTCTGCTGTAGAGTCAAATGCTCCCCGATTCCACTCCTGTTTTTGCACTCGAAACCACAGTTTTGAAGGCATTCATGCACTGTGTGAGTTGAAACTGAAGACTCTGAGAGTCAATTCAGCACTACAAGTCAATCCAACACGGTATGAGTCAAGTAAATACTGCACTGTAAAAAGGTGAACAGGGCAGAAGTTGACATGAAGTGTTTTTGGGGTTTGAGTTGATGTAAAAATTTGCTTTTGTTCATGTAAACACCATGTGTCAAAAATAGGGCCTGTGGGCCAAGTCAGGCCCGTGACACAGTCCTACTCGGCCCGTGAAATT